GGTTTTGGCGATGGGAGGGATGGTGATGGTTGAGGAGATGCGATGAAGACGTTGGGCCGGGATGTAGCCGAGGATTTTGACGCTAAACTCTATTTGTTTGTCCCGATCTTATCAACTTCTTGTTCCGGTCTTCTTACACATACCTATAGATGTACCTCTGATCTGGCCGCTTACACATAGTTCTCCTTCGTTCCCTTCTCCGCACTCCGATAGATCGCCTCAATCATCTTATGCCTCACGACAGCCTCCTCCCAAGTCGTAACACTACCCTTGCCCTCTCCAGCCCATGCATCCCAAGCCCTACCCACATTGAACGAAGGGTCTGCAGCCTTCTCGACCTCAACCTCTTTCAATCCCTCTTGGCCCAGGGCAATTTTGACTGTAGGCTGGAACATCTGCACATGTCCGTTCGGTCCTTCCAACACGAGCGTACCCTCGGATCCGATGATCTCCCAGTAAAAGTCCCGTCCGGTGCGTGAAAAACCTGGCGCATATGTCACGTCGACGTTTCCGCCGCCATTGATGAGTTCTGCGGTGATGGAGACGAAGTCGTGAGAGGTTTTCGCCTTCTTTTCTCCAAGGGGCTTGTAGTTCTCGTCTACGAGCTCGAGCTCGGGGTATCTGTTCGACAGCACAGCGGAAATGGAGCGAAGTTCGCTGGAAAAGACGTAGCATAGAGCGTCAACGGCGTGGCCGAAGGGGATAGTGAGGATGTTTGCGCCGTTTTCCACGGGGTGCATGTACATGTAAGAGGGCATAGTTGTGCCGCCGAATATCATGCCCTGTTGGTTTCTGCGTTAGCAAGCTTGTTCATCCCATAGACCATATGCTTTTCAGTCAGTTTCGGAAGGGTAGACATGAGAACTCACATGACCGAACATTGTCGTCCCCAAAATCTTGCCCAGCTTCCCCGACTCAACAATCTCCTTCGCCTTCAAAATTGATGGGTTCTGGCGTGCTTGCAAGCCCACCATCGTCCTAACACCTTTCTCTTTAGCCAACGCCGTCAATTCTTCTGCTTCTTTCTCATTGCGAGCCAAAGGCCATTCACAGAAAACGTCTTTTCCCGCTTCCAGAGCCGGACGGATGAGATCATAGTGTTGGGGCACGTTGACGCTAACAGCGATAATGTCAACGTTAGGATCCTGGGCGACTGAGCTGGGAGAGTCGTGCGTGGATACGGAGTCTAGAGAGTACTGTTTGGCGGAAGCCTGAGCTGAAGCGAGAGAGCTGTTCTGAAGGGCGGTGATCGCATAGTGCGGGTTGCGTTGGAGGTAGGGAAGATGGGACTTCGATGCCCAGGATCTGGTGTTGTGTCAACTACCGATGCTCATCATTTCAGGAACGATGCGATCGTACCCTTTAGCAGACAGGCCAATGAGGCCGATGCGCTTTTGTGAGGTGGCCATGATAGGTCAGTACGGCACGCGACTTCGGAGGATTGTCAGCACGGTGAACGGTGAGCAATCAGATGCTTACTCAAAATAGCGAATGCGTACCAGTTTCATATATCAAACAGCGGAATAACTGTACATTCCGCTGTTTCCGTAGCCTGCATCCAAAGCGGGTACAGCCGATTGGTGTCGCGTCATTGTCGCGTGGCATGCATGACGCCATTCGTAGCTCCTCCGCATTTCGTCCGGACGCGCTTGACATTCAACATCTCGGGTTGTCTACCATCTTGCAAAATCCATGTCCGTGAATCTGGCATCACGCAGAGAACGGCATTAAATGTTTTCAACATGATTCCTACCGACACAGTATATCCTAGTGTACAACTTAGGCGTGTAATTCAGGCATTAGGTACAACTCGGAAGCAGCGACTCGCATCGTATGTGTGAACCGTATATCCAACCATCTCCATGAAGCTCTCCTATGATGTCTGATCCATCTCCTCATCTTCATCTTCACCGTAACCGTCCTCGTCATCGCCGTCATTACCATCCTCATCCCACCTCTCAGGGTAACATCCATACAGCTGTGCGTGATCATAGTCTTCGTCCGCAATACATGCATGATCCTGTCCCCGGGTATAAGCCTCGTTCACGAAATACGGCCGCGAAGTCGCCAGGCCAAGAGAAGGCTCAGAGCCCACAGCCAGACGACTCAAAGCAGCCGCACTGTTCGGGACGAAAGGTTCAGCCGATGGAGATAGCGCACTTGAAGCCGACGTCCCAAAACCATACGGATTCTCCGTAGCTTGGAAGTCCCCGGTATTACCAAACGTGCCCGCCACCTCTTGTCCTGTGAACGGCATCCCAATCTCATTCTGCACCAACTTCTTCGTACTCCATCCGTTGGCCTGAGATAGATCTGCATAGTACTTCTCGTTCTGGCACTGCTCGCAAAAGTACGTTCCATGTCTAGCTTTCAACTTTCCGATCCTATCGAGGCAGTCCTTGTGGTACCAGCGCACTCTGCAGTCCTTGTTCATGCATTGCGTGATTTGGACTTCGTTGGTGCGAGCGGGTTTGCGGCAGGAGCAGATTAGGTCGGTTTTGGCGGGAAGATGCTGGAGGTGGGTTTCGAAGGCTTCTTTGGTGACGCCAAATGGCGCGGTATAATCAGCGGCTGGGTCGCGTTTGCGGTACATGGGCGCCTTCGGTGAGTGTTTCTTGCCTGAGGGTTTTGACGGAGGGCTTGGCGTTTTTTTGTTTGACAATGCTTTGCCTTTGTTCTTCGCAGGCGTATACTCGCCGCCCGGTCCATCTGGGTCATATTCCTGTTCTGATATGTCGGATGGTACATCGCTCAAGTCCGTGTCGTCGCCATCGATGTCTTTGGTCTTGACCGCGCGTTGAGGTGTCGAGGGACCCTGAGGATTTATTACCGTGAAGAAGTTGCGGATGTCGGTGCCCTTCGCTGCGGCCATACTCTCTCGCTTTATACGGTGATTGGTGAAGAAGCCGCGGACAGCGTTACTATCGACGTCGCGACCGAACCTGCGACTACCACTGCCGAAATCCGGGATACTGTCTGGTAGCAGTGTCTTACTGCCGAGCTTTTCGTAATCTTCGTGTTGTACAGACTCCGGATCTCGATGGACGTAGATGCGCGTCTTTGAGATGCGCTTCTTTGGGGTATCAGGAGTCGGCGGCGGGGTGTTGTAAGGGAAGCTCAAGGATGGGCGTGGGGAGTAGACACAGTTGAGACTAGTTGAATCCAGCGGAGTTGTGAAAGAGCGTGGAGAGCACTGTGGAGAAACCGGTTCACCAGCGCTCCTTTTGTCCCCAACGAAGAGGGCATTGTACGCACTTGTCCATGAGGCCTCGCGATCCTTGAGCGTAGGGAAGATTCTGAGACTGTGATAAGACGTGTAATCAACAGGCTCTGTATGCGGAGTTTCGTCTGTGACGCCATCCAGGTATAGCGAGCCAGTAGTTGAACAGGCCAGCCCTTCAACGCTCCAATCGTCCTTCAAGTCGTCACCCTCCCTCAGATCGTACAAATCTTCTTTCGATGTAGGACGCCGAATAGGCCGGATTAGGGAGTGGAAGTGTCCAGCTCCTTGAGGTTGATCGAAGAGCCCCTTTGTAGACAAAGTCAGTAAATGCTTTCATGCATGCGACAAGGTTGTCATGACGTTGGGTAATCGGCCGTAACATACATATAGAGGATGTTCGACGAGACGCACCTCCGCATGCCTGTCAACAAGCTCTCCGATGCAGCCCAGACAGTAGGTGGGCAGCTGCTGACCTCGAGACACCAGCTTTCTAACCACCTGTGTCCACAATGGATCCTTCATCCTTGGTCCGCTGCGGCGAAATGGAAAGATCCTACCGGCAGCTACGATGACATCTGAGGCCGGCTCAACAGTTCCCCAGTCAAGCAGCGGCTCGAGTGTGACGACGCGAGAGTGTTGAGCTTGTCCAGTGGCCTTTCTCTCTGTATCCGGACAGGAGGGGTTGCCGCAGGTTTCCTTGGAATTGTCATTGAAGATGAAGACGACGTCGCACATTATTTGATATCGTGTTCCGGATCCTCTTCCTTCGAGGAGCTGTATGACAAGCTCTGCATGCTCAGCGAGAACCTGATCACAGCTCCAGCGATAGGTTTGGGCAGCGTCCATAAACCTCAAAGACTGATGGCCTGGCTTTGTAACGCGAGAGGGCTTCTTCCAGAGCGTCGTTTGCAGCTTGAGATATTGCTCGGCGCTATCGTCTAGCGTAGGCGTTGTTATGCCCCGATCCCGAAAGAATTGGACGAATTCTTCGCTGGCTTCCTTGCCGATCTTAGGGAACAGGTAATGGGCGCTCCAAAGGTCATCTTGATTGGTGTAGAAACCTTCGAAGGAGCAGTCGCTAGAGCTCTCGCCCGACGAAGCCATGTTGCGCAGTGGGGTCTATGCTGTTACCATAAGCTGACCTTATCCACAAGACGGGGGTATCGGTCAGGACTGTCGCGTGTCTGGACGGGGAAGGGGGCGCGTGCGGGAGGTCGCTCTCATGCGAAGGGTCTCATACGAAGGGGACGGTTGCAGTGCCACGGGCCGACAGACTCCGCCTGTCGCACAACGAGCGGTGACAGGAGACGCTCGTACCAGTTTTGAAGACTTTTTCGATCGATTGGCATGCTCTGAGTGGGCGTCCAGTATGAAAAGAACGGTAGCGAAATGGCATCCATTGGAACGCATGTGGAGTGGAGCACGTCAAACGAAACGCGAAAGAACCACGCGCAGTGAAAACACACGTCTTGAAGTGAAAGTGAAAGTGAAAAGAGAGAAAAACATGTACGAAAACCGCGCACCACACTTGACCAACTCGCATACCTTTTGAAGTTTATGCCTTGATACGACCATACGCTTATAAGGTATGGTCCAGGGACATGCCTGAGATGTGAGGATTTTGGTAGAAGTGCAAGAGCCTTTGATGCGGACATGGCCAGTGTTAGACGTGCGTATAACTCTCACTGGATTTCGGACGTCAATGTTGATGATGAAGGTACCCCACGAGAGCATATGTGCTCGTGTTTGGGGATCCTCCGAATGCGATATCTTCCGTTTACAGGATGGCATTGATCTCGTTGCCGCTCACCATGCCCTCTACAGTCGCCTTCAATATCTCACCAAGGTTCTTGATCGACGTTGTCGAAAACCATGCCACATGCGGACTCAGAGTAATGTTGAGGTCCTTCACGTCTTCCTCCAACAGTGGGGTATCTGCAGGTCCACCAAGAGGTTCCACCTGGTATACGTCGGTCGCATAACCGGCTATGCGCCTCTGCTTCAGGGCTTGCACTACAGCAGCTTCGTGTACTATGCCGCCTCTCGCGACGTTGACTATGACGGTATACGGATGCATCTTCTCGAGCTCGGGAGTAGAGATGAGGTTGAGCGTCTCGGGGGTTCGCGGGAGAGCTAGGACGAGGACTGTGGAGTTGCGGAGCACATGGTCAAAGGGTATGCGGTCGTCAGAGGCGTCAGGGGCTGGGAGCCCGGTGTCTACGGGAGGCGTCGCTGGTGTCTTTCGACTCGCGATAAGTACGCGCATGCCCAATGCTTGCCCTAGCGCAGCTATTCGCTTGCCTATCACCGCGTGTCAGCGCAGGACTTCTCATCCTGATTAGGATATGAGGACCTACCGATGCCCCCATAGCCGATAACGCCCATAACCTCATCTTTGCAGGTCATCGGAGGCATGCCGTCCGGCAGGCGCATGTGGTCCTTCACGCTACCCGCCGTCTTCCATTCGCTGGGGTGCGCACGAGTGATGCGATCCAGCAAGGCGGTGCGCCTTCTGGATGCAAAGTATAGACTTATGGCATGTTCCGAAACCGCGTCGAGGTTTGCCCCCGGGCAGTTTGTAACGCGAATATTGCGGGCCCGGCAGGCGTCCAGGTCCACAGGGTCTGTTCCGGTCGCGGATATGGCAATATAGCGGAGGTTCGGAGTAACACTGGGGCGCAATGTTTCGGCATCAAGCTTAATGGTGGTAGTAATGATTATCGTTGCATCGTGGATGCGCGAGTGGAGCTCTTCACGAGTCGACGTGGTCTTGTACGCTGTCAGTTTGTGGGTTGTGGAGGCTGGGAAGGTGAATCCGTGGATGGGGAGGGGCTGCTGATGCTCCTCAAGGGCTACAATCTCGTGATGCATGGCGACACAGTTACACAGCATTCGGCGCAAGGCTGGCGCTGCTCCAGACGCCCATTATCGCCATTTTATGCTGGCCATGGAACGCCTCATACTGCCAAGTTTGGGCACCTGGGTCCGCTACTGCCGCATGCGACATGTTAGGGCGCGTCGTCAACGGAAGGAGCGAAGGAGCGAGGGGAATGCGCTGGGCAGTTGCAGCATCAAAAGCCGACTCCACTCTGGCACGCCGACACTGACATCTCCATTCACCCCTATCTCGATATCTGGGCTGGCTCCGCAAACGCCTCCCATGTGTTTTTCAGCGCGTTATGCACACGCGACCAGTGCCCCGGACTCTACCCACGAATACGGATCGTGTGCCGAGATGGACGCCCGCTGGACGCCCGCTACGACGCCAATCTCGAGCCATCGGCGACCCCCATTGGCGCGCAAGCCAGCAACTGGCAATAGAAGTAACATCACCCCACGCGTTCACTGCGATTGCCCTGCAAACTCTGCAACAGCCGAGTGAGGCTCAGCAACGTGCGCACCTCCAAAGACCACGTCAGGGTCCTTTCATCGCCGGCTGCTCGTCGGCACACGGCGGCTCAGCTTCTGGCCCACTTCTAGAAAAAACCTCAACACCTAGGCGACGGAACGCGGATGCATTAGACTGTAGTTCCCACTCAGTCGGTGATTTTCTCGGCGCAGTAAAACAGCCCTATCCGGCCACCCTCCACCAGCAATTGGCCCGCCAAGCTCCGCGTCTGTTGCCATCTGAAATTCGGGTGGGTAGTCTAAGGCGACTTGTCTACATGCTGGCTAGCGGGCCTGGACCATGCGCCGACTGACGTGCCTCTGCAGCCCTTCAAAGCCTGCGCTGATCCGCCGCTGGGGACATGTCCCAGAGCTTTGCTTTGCGACAACTCCCCAACTCTCCTTCTCTCTCAGGCCCCCAGACCCAGGACCAAAGCGACACGCCCCTCATGTCCGACTACAGGTACGGCACGCAGTCAGATGCGTATGCCGCTGAGCACGACCACTCTCTGCGCAACGGCGCGCCCGAGAAAGAGACCAAGCTGGGCAACACCTACTCTGGATCCGGAGACGATGTCGTTCCCGCTGATGCCGACAACCTTCTGGCTGCCATGGGCTACAAGTCGGAACTGATCCGATCAAGATCCACTCTCCAGGTGGCCTTCATGTCCTTTGTCCTGGCTTCCGTCCCTTACGGCTTGGCTACCACCCTCTACTACCCTGTAGTTGGCGGAGGTCCCACCAACATCATCTGGGGATGGCTCGCCGTATCGCTTATCATTCTCGCAGTCGCCGCATCCCTTGGTGAGATCACCAGTGTCTACCCGACCAGTGGTGGTGTCTACTACCAGACCTTCATGATCACGCCGCCCGCCTATCGGAAAATCGCTTCGTGGATCTGTGGCTGGTGTTTCGTAGTTGGCAACATTACCATTACTCTATCCGTCAACTTTGCTACCGCGCTGTTCCTTGTGGCATGCGTCAATGTCTACGAAAGCGAACCTGGTGTTGGTATCATGGAAGGATCACCCTACCAGGTCTTCCTTATCTTCCTTGGCATCACACTTCTTTGCAACGCTGTGTCTGCCTTTGGAAACAAGTACCTACCATGGTTGGATGTGAGATTCCCCCAAAACGGCTACCGGATGTGTTACTTACAGATATCTAGACTTTTGCCATCTTCTGGACCTTTGCTGGTGTGATTGCCATTATCGTCTGCATCCTTGCCATTGCGAAAAATGGTCGCCACAGCGCCGAATACGTCTTCACTGAATTCGACCCCTCCAACTCCGGATGGATCCCAGGATGGTCTTTCATGGTCGGATTACTGCACGCAGCCTACGCGACTTCATCGACCGGAATGATCATCTCGTGAGCCTCCCCTATTCTGCCCAAGCAACTTGCAGCAGATTTTCCTTGCCCAATGCACTTTCCCAAGCGACTATCCCATGCGACATTTCCTAAGCGACATCCCAAGCAACACACTCCATCGCGACATTATACGTGTCTACAAGCGGTAACTCTTAACAACAATTGTCCAAACGCTAACACATTCGTAGCATGTGCGAAGAAGTTCGCGAACCTGCCACTCAAGTCCCCAAGGCCATGGTCGCGACCGTCGCGTTCAACACCGTTGCCGGCCTCGTCTTCCTTATCCCTCTCGTCTTCGTACTGCCCGACCAAGCCATGCTCGCAGGTCTTTTGTCCGGCCAGCCTACGCCTGTCATCATCAAGGAAGCCGTAGGGTCCTCCGCTGGTGCCATCGGACTTCTTGTTCCCCTCCTCGTCCTCGGTCTGCTTTGCGGTATCGGCTGCACGACAGCTGCGTCTCGCGCTACCTGGGCCTTCTCTCGTGACGGTGCCATTCCCGGCTACAAGCTGTGGAGGGTCGTCAACACCAACCTCGATGTCCCAGTCAACGCCATGATGCTCAGCATGGTGGTCCAGATCGCTCTCGGTCTCATCTACTTCGGTGCTGCCGCCGCTTTCAACGCCTTCTCTGGTGTTGGTGTCATTTGCTTGACATTGAGTTACGCTGCCCCCATCTTTGTCTCGCTCATGACTGGCCGTAAGCAGGTCAAGGATGGCGCGTTCCATCTCGGCATGCTCGGCACGTTCTGCAACGTCGTTGCCCTTGGTATGTTACATCACTATTTCGCTGTCCTGGCGCAATCGCTAACAACAAACAGCCTGGTCCGCCCTTGCAACCCCTCTGTTCTGCATGCCCACTTTCCGCGAGGTTACCCCTGCGTCGATGAACTACGCCTCCGTCGTTCTTGCCGCCGTCGTCGTCATCTCCACCATCTGGTACTTCGTCTGGGGAAAGAAGAACTACGAGGGACCTCCCACTCACGAGGATGCCGTGCTCGAGGCTAGGAGAGCCAGCATGGCCAGTCGCTAAGACCCATCAGAATCTAGATGACACAAGAGGCGGAACAGATTAATGAGCCGTCTCCTGTCTCGCTACGAACACCTAAAGCGAACATTGATCCACATGTATATTTCCGCGATAGTAAATTCGATACCCCAATTCATTCTTTGAGCATTCAAGACCAACTTCATCATTTAATGTCTAGCCAAAGTGGTCGTAAGTCTGGGCCTCTGAATTCACAAGCTTGACGTCAAGCTCCCCATCTCTACAAGCAGCAAAAAAAGCTTGACCATCGGACCCGCGGAAAAAACGGCACCATGCACGCGCCGCCTCCACAGTCCCATGTCCACGATATGTCACTACCTCCACAAAGCCCACACAGTCCACAAAGTCGCAAGCAGGCTCCATGTTCCCATTTCCGCCCCCATCAGGCCCCGGCGCTGTATCTTCGGCCAATACCGGGACCATCTCAATCAGTGATTAGTGAACCCGACCCATACGTCATTTGTAGTTAAGCGCAGCACAGCCGCGAAAATATTTGATGGGACCGGTGCTCGCAAGCGTCTCCGCTAGACAGTCCCGCTCGCCGCTAATGCAATGTGGTTCCAGTGACCTGGCATGGCGGGCTCTGGGACGGGCTGGACGGGCTGGACTGGATTGTACTGGACCCTCGCAAGGTTGGATGTACTGGCGCTAGGGTACCAAGGTAAGGGCGTGACGTTATGAGTGAGGTTTGGAGGTAGAGATGTGAATGAGTAGGAATAGATTCGGAACGTATATGTATAGATCGACAGGGTTTGTCGCTGCTGAGAGTGAGTGAATCTCCATCTCTATGAAGATAATAGTAGGATTGCTTCACGGATGTCTAGAAATAACGCCAACGACCCATCTCCACACCATCCACCTTCTTCATTATGGCTCTCAACTCCATTTCTGACTTTGACTCGTCGAGTTCCTTCTGTACTTCCCGTACGCGCTCAGGATGGAGGATACAGACAGGACTGCCCACAGGCGTCAGGATGCGAGATCGCGAGATGAGATCCAGACTTGATGCGTAGGGCCGTCTGGGTCGTCGTGATATGCGTGGAGGAGGATTCGCGATGAAAGGGTCCTCCAGGGAGGTAACGTCGGCGAAGTCGTGGAACATAGGAGGTGTCGTTACAGTATTCCACTTCCCTGCCTTCTCATCCACTTCTTCTTCCTCAACAACGCCATCAAACAACCTCCCCACCGGATTCCGATTCCTCACAAGAATACTCTTCCTCTTGCCTCCATCCTTCTTCCCCACCCCTAGTCCATGTCCATGTCCATGTCCATGCGGACTAAGACTATCCCCAAACTCGACATCTCCCCTTCTCCCGTGCCTGCCCCCATCGATACTCCCATTCCCATTCCCATTCCCATTCCCACCACCACCAACCGGACTCGACGTATCCCCTTCCACCGGCGTACCAAACGTATCCCTTGAAATACTCGTTTTGATAGAATCAGTAGCGATAGACTGAGTGATGATAGGACGCTGGTGCACAATCGTCGAGTCCTCTGGAGGCGAAGGTAAGGACAAGTCAGCATCGTAGTCAATCCACGGTGCGACTTCGCGGATGTTGATGCCGGGGAAAGTGGTAGCTGAGGCGTGGGTATGAGCGCTGCTGGCGTTTGAACCCGCGGGACTGGCGTGTCTGCGCGGTTCGCCGCCTGTTGTGGATACATCGGCTTTGCTGTGAGTGTTTGTGCGGCTGGGTTTAGCTGGGACGAGGAGCGTGTTGCTTTTGCTCATTGTAGCGGTGGAGGTGAGGGGGTCGGCTTCGGGGACGGATTTGGGGGATATGACGTCTTCTTTGTCGAGGACGTGGACGTGGGCTTCTTCGTCGAAGTGGAGGTGCTTGAATATGCCTTTGCGGGGTTCGAACGGTGGGGGTTCTGTTGGGAGGGGTTTGGGGACTACGTGCGGTGTGACTGGTGGTGCTGTCTTGAGCGGGGTTGAGAAATCGCTTTTGTTGGCGCCTACGGGAAGGGTGCTGTGTGACTTGCGTTTACCGTCTCGGTTCACCTTGCGGAGACGCTTGTACTCGGCGTAATCATCGACTTCGGTTGCTGTGGGTCGCTTGGTGACTACCGCCATGGGCACTGAGTCGGTCCTCTCAAACAGGACGTCGAATAGGATATCGCCTTCTTTCCATTGCCCACCAGCAAGGTTACTGCTTTTGGCTTGCTTGATGGACCAGCCTCGGACGCTGTACAAGCCTTCGTATCTCACACCTGCTTTTGGTCCCCAGACGCTGTTGATGCTGTGGCTGCGAAGTACCCTCACAGGATCTCGGCTCTTGGGTGTAGCAGAGGTAAGACGGAACTTACCCTTGTCATTCTGCGGAACACGATAGGTAAAGCGTTCTTCGGACGAAGCTTCAATCTCGCCCGTATCCTTGAGTAGAAGAGCATATGCACCGTGTTTGTCGTACGTCGTACCGCCATCGCATGCCTCAAGCCCGATGATGCCAGCATGGTGTGCGAATAGAGGGTTGATCCACCACCTGCAATAGGTATCAGTACACCTACAGGAGATGAAACAGAGGGAATGGACTTACGTCCCAGCCACAAACCCCAAATCCCCCAATTTATGGCTCCTCTTCGGATGAATCTTCTCGGGACAAGTCTCCGCCCAGCGCTTAAGCAACGCCTCCCTAGAATACTCATTCACACTAGCAATCCCCTCCAACCGACCCCCCCTCCCATACAAAAACGGGTGAATCTCGCTAAACGGCCCAAACTTCGCCGTCCAACTGTCTACAATCTTGTCGCAGTCGTCGCACAACCTGCTCGGCCACCGCGTTGCCACGCCCGCAACGTCTTGGACGGCTTTGTGGATGCCGGTTGCGCGGAGGACGGAGATGGTGATGTTTTGCGCTTGGCGGAGGGCGACGAGCGTTTCGTGCAGGGTGAGCACGTCGTCTGGGCGGAGGACGTCCGGGCCGTCGCGGGCGACGCGGAGGTCGAGTTCGTCGCGGATCCAGCGGGCGATTTGTTTGAGGCGGGGGCGGGAGAGGTCCGGGTGGACGGGGGGTGTGACCGGGAAGGTGGCGGCGGTGTGGGTTGTGGATATGGTTAGGGGGCTCGAGAGGCTGTCACGGAGGGCGGGTGTCATGGTGTTGGCACTGGTGCGTTGGGGTAAGTCAGGATGTTGAGCCGTGTTGCATTGAATAATGGTAAGGGTTTGGCGGAGAAGGAATAGGTACGGCCAGTGTATTGAATGGTGTAGTGAAAGAGTGGCTTTCGTACTGATTCAAGGTCTGAGGGTCCTGGCACCAGCTGCCCTTTCCTCTGCCATTAGAGTTGACCGCCTTCCTATTTCTTTCATACATCTCAGTGTTTGCGCTTCTTCTTTTTCCGCTTTTCAGTCCCTTCAGCTGCCGGTGTCTCCACAGGCTTTAGTGTCTCTTGAACCATCTCATCACCACTAAACCCATTAAATTCCTCATCTTCATCTTCAGCAGCTGCAGTTTCCATGATCGGTGCCGAATGTGGACTGCCATCCCTGACAAAGGCAGCCACGAAGAAACCCATTGTGCCTTCTTCCGTACCCTTATCACACCGAATGCACGCTTCCAACACGTCATTCTTCAAAGATTCATCCACATCAATCTCCAGTTTCTCGTCCTCCCACACCCCGCGTCTATGCCACTTCTTCATCCCATCGACTTGCTGATCTCTCTTGAGAATGGACCAGCCTCGTTCTCTTGCGACAGAAGAGGCCAGTGCTTGGAAGACAACGCCCTCGTTCTCTTCGAAATGTATCGAACATGTGGAGTACGTGATCTTGTGCGCGTTTTCAAATCGCATAGCATGGTTGAGTATGTGGAGCTGGAAGGATGATAAAGCTGTCAGTCGCTCGGCTAGCTTGCCGTGCATTGGCGTCTCCTCAGGTGTTGATTCATCCATATCCAAGTCTAGCGTCGCTGAAGGGTCAGCTTCCTTAGGCTCGTCGTCTCTCTTCCGCTTCTTTCCTTTCTCAGGCTTTTGCGGTGCTGGGCGACTGTTTGGTGACTCTGGTAGATGCATCTTGATCGCATCGTCACGCCCAACTATGCCAGTACCAGAGCAACTGGGATCGAGCAGTATAGCACCGACGTTGGCATACTCGTCGGATCCAGGCTTCGCAGCGATAAAGTCGCTACTACCCTTGACCTGAACGATGCTGTCCGCTGATGCGAGCTTGACCATCTTCTGCAACGTGAAGGTTCTACCCTTGTCGCGCTCGAATGCAATGACCTTCTGTTCTTCACCCGGTCGCCTCCGGTCAGATACGATAGCTGCCAGATGTGTTGTCTTGTTTCCTGGTGCCGCGGTAGCATCGATAACATCGCCATCGTCAGGCTGCGGATCTAGCAGATAGGCTGGAAAGCACGAAGCCTTGTCTTGGAAGATGATCTGACCCTTCGTATACGCGATTGACCTGCTCAGATCGATCTTGGAGGGTAGCGCGAGTAAGTTCGGTATGTTAGGGTCTTCGTAGTATATCTTCGACTTCTTAGGCGCAGAAAGAACTTCGCTCAGATCTTCAGTCTTGACAAAGCCGGCAAATGTGGTCGATAGCTGTTGCTGCAACGTCGTCTTGACGGTATTGATCCGCACCCAGCGTGGATGGCGGCTCTTGGGCGCATCACCCTCATCCTTCTCAAGCTCGCCATCGTTCACAGCCTCCCTGAATGCCTCTATGGTCGCGTATCCGTATCGTATGCGGGCTTTCGTGAGCTCGGCGCTCAGACGGGCTTTGTGTCTGGTGATGGCAAGTTTGAGGACATGGTTGGCGGCTGCGGCAACACCGTTCTTTGCGAGCAACAGATCGTGGGTAAGAAGGAGAGCGAGGATTGGCGTAAGCTGTTTAAAACACATTAACATCAGGATGCGACACAGAATATTGCTAGTAAACTACCCACCTTCCTCTCCTCAGCAAGCAATTTGGTCTTCTCAATCACATCCTTGAGCACGATGGACCATTTTGACGTTTCCGCAATGAGCGCAAACAATTGGCCTGGTGTGCTCTTCAGATCTTTCTTGCCGTATATACGCGACTTGAGAGACCCGCCTGTGTTCTCGGTGTTTGCGAGGACCGCCGCGGCTTCGTAGTAGAGTGACATGGAAGCTGTCGCATGCGCATGCGAGAGAAGAGTCGCGAACTTTTTGGCGTTAGGACCGAGCTCCGACTCTTTCCCCACACATCTCCGCGCGCCTGGACCCACGCGACGTAGGCATTCGTGAATGTGCGATACGACGCAGCTGCTAGATTACCCATAATAGACAGGATATGATTTCACGAAACTTTGACACGCGGCATTGCTAGGCAAGTAATGACATTTTTGTTCGAAAATACCACTGGCCAACAAGCCATGCTCATGTGTGATGGCAGCACAACGGGTTATCTGGTCATCTTGGGAGCATAAATCGTAATCCAATGCCGCGTGCATGCACGGTGGTGTTGTATTCTCATACGTGAGCCAGCAATCATAACGCCGTGATATGCGTTTTCATGTATGTGGAAATGACCTCCAACGCCCCCAAAATATCCTGTATCTGATGTTTCTGTAGTTGAAGAGGCACCAAGGTACACAAATGCTCCAGGCAGCATGCTAACTGCGAATCGCAGGGGTATATATCAGCTATAGTAGATAGCGCGTAGGCAAGTCATCTACGCCTTCTTGATCCTTTCCTCGTAGGCTGACCAAGCAGCTTTTCTGTATCGTTCTGCCTCCGCCTTGCGGTCTTGTGCGCGCACGATGCCTCGCCCGACAATGATGACGTCGCAGCCTTGCTCGAAGATTAGCTTGCGAGGAGTGTTGTATTGTTGGCCTAGAGCATCGCCCAGCTTCTTGCCTTCCTGGCCTGGCGGTGGGAGCTGGCAGCCCGGTGTCATGGTAATGAAGTTGTCCTCTGGCTCAGTGTTCAAGCTTCGTTGCGCAATGAAGCCCATGACAAACTCGGGACGGCTGCGTGCGATCTCGACGGTCCGCTTCTGGTATTCGGGTGTCATGAGGTGGCCCTCAGAGCTCATCTCGGCAAGCAACAGAAGCGACCGGAGGAACGGTGGTGGACCAAGTCGGATGAGCTCTGTTGCTACGTCCAAGTTGAAGACTTCTTCTCCATTGGCATTTGGCTCTGGACGCGGCGATATGCTCTCTGTCCGCATGGATATCGAGGTTGTCACACTGACGACGCTGTGCTTGCGGTCGGCAGCCTTGATGCTCAGCCGCCTCTCCTCGCCCTCCATCTCGATGGGTGACTCAATCGCCGAGTTTCGTTGTTGTTGTATGAATTGATCGTCCTCTTCGTCATCATCGTCGTCGAGGCCATTGATTTGCCGTGTGGCAGAGATTTCGGTGTTTACGGACGTGTTGTACTTGGCGATGGTGGCATCGGCAGCCTTCTCGAGCGCGGTGACGATGGCTGGGCCAGGAATGACATGCGCGTTGGTGATCTCGGCCCAGAGCGCAATGCGGTGGTGTCCAGAAGTGTACTGCTTCTGTACGGTTTCTGTGCTGTGTTAGAGACTGCCCCGCCAGTGAATATCCTACGAGCCAACATGACATACCACCAATGTCCGCAAACTTTCGGTCTTCGAAGATGAGGAACCATTTCCGCTTGGCAATCTCTCTCAGTGCCTGTGCTGTCCTGTCTGACCAGTCGACGACAATGTCGCAGTGCGTCTTGAGCACGCAGATTGAGTCACCAACATCTTCGGCCAGTTGGAGGAGTTCGGCTGACGTCTCGACATCGGCGGAGAGGCAGAGGTTCGTCTGCTTGACGGATATGAGACTCAGCAGGTATGAAGCCAAGGGCCCGGTCGTGGGTAGTGAGGCGCGCGCACGGTACGTGCTGGTGAGGCTCGGGTGGGAAGACATGACGGCGATCGGTGATGGACGCCCGCCGGATTTTGGCTTGTGTGTTTGAGAAGGGCCGATATATAGCCAACGCGCGTGAAGGAATGGATCGGCAGCGTGGTGTTGTTTGGCGAGTGTCTCCGCGGGGATGTCTCTGGTGAGGGGCACTGCTGTCGACGGAGGAAGGAGCGATGGACAGATCGGCAGGTGCGATGAGGCGTGTTATACAAAAAAGAAAGCCACCCAGGAAGGAAGGGGAAATAGCAGCCAAGTCAGAAATATAGCAATGGAAGGCTAACGTCGACGGTCCCGTCGTCGCAGGTCGAGGACGCGGGCGCCGACAGGCAGTGCGCACAAAAATTGCGCCTGTTCCTGGCACGGCCCGCTCAGCGCTGGTCGCAGATCATGTCTAGACGCGCATTCGAACCGAAACCGTCATGCACCGCAGCCAGCGACCGCCCATAGACGCCAGAAATGCCACCCAAGCTGCGGCCTGCCCGGCTACCGCTCTTTGCACCACGGCCTAGCCATGCACCTCTGCACTGACCGGATGAGCCTCCACTTCCCTCCGCCTGCAACAGCTGTCTCTTAACCACTTCATCCGCTTCACCACCTCGTATTCGCGATCCTGCACCGCCTCCTGACCGGCGCTTTACTCACGTTCAGGGCTATTCGGCCATACTGCTAGCGTTGCCAACCGACTGCATGTCGCTTCCTCCTGTCATTACCCCAGCCACCATCCCGCTGTAAACCACCATGCCGTAGCCAACGCTTCAAGCGCCACCGTAGTGCTGCCAGACACCCCACCGCAACGTTACGCCTGTCATCCGATTATTGCAGCCTCCTCGCCGAATTGCTCAACCTCAATTGCGCCGCTCCGAGATATCAACACGTCGACTCAAGACCTTGGCAACGGCTGCACGCCTGCAGCTCGCCAACAGTCCCGATTCGTGTGCTGCCTGCGTGTGCTCCATCGGAAAGTGGGGCCCAGAGGCGACGTCGTATCATGCCCGCATCGCGATCCCCGGTTCTGATGAGTTGGTCGGTCCGTTGCTTGATTGTTGATATTGCTTCCCGTCGCTTTGGTGCTGCGTTCGCCTCGGAAGGATAGATATCCCGCCGCTGTTATGGCCGTAGTGGTAAACGATATCAGGCCAAGGAACCCTCGCTCGGCTTCATTTTGTTCGGATCGTGAACTCTACAGCTGACGAAAACATGTGGAAATGAGAAGCCCAGAACACGCGTCAAATGGGCGTTCCTGACAAATCCAAAGGTGTCTTATTGTCTGGTCTGTAGGTTGCCAGTCTGCTACGTCGTTCCTCAGTTCAACTTCTCTTTCCATCACAACAAGCCTGTAGGTCTCCACGGCTTTCGATGTTCATCTCAGTATGCTTACCATCGTCTCTTCTCTTCACGAAAGCATCACTATTAAACAACATACCACTCGTCTCAAACTCATCATGCCAATCTCTACAGGTCTCTAATGTGGCGGCATGTTTCTTCTATCGATATGGTGTAGCAGTACTGCGACTATTCTTACAACAGCCTGAAGATATACATTTCGACTCACGTCAACTCATATCAAAATATACCCTAGTGAGTATTGTTTGGCTATGTTCTGGTGTTCGTGGGTACTCAATCGTAGTCACCGTAGCATTGCCATGCGAAGGTCCACACATGACCTTCATGTTGCCCATCACTACCATACCTTTCCTCACCTCGAATAGGCAACAGCAATGGAAGTACGACTACTCGACGAATGAGAGCGTCGGAATTCGAGCTTGACAACCTAGAGGTAATTTCCCGTTTGCGCGTTGCGCGAATTCCAACTTCACTGCGTCTTCTTCCACAATAACAACCCCACATTTATTCCCTCACAACAACTTTCCTTCTTCCTTCCCTCTTCCCTTTACCCATAGCTTCCAACAGCTTCATTCCAAACTCCGCGCTTTGCAGCTTACTTCTTCCTTCTTCAATCAAAACTACTCCCACATACATCGTCAAGATGCCTCCCAAGAAAGAGGTCGTTGCGGGTGAGGCCCTGCTCTCCGGATTCTTGGACAAAGAAACCAAGCTGCTGGCCGCAGCCTTCCTGAGCTCTACTGCTCCCGACAAGGTATGTCACATTACGAATCACATCTATTGTGTACTAACCTGAATAGTTCGACTACGATGTGATGGCCACGCTTACAGGCAACACCGCTGGCTCCCTCAAGAAGATGTGTAAGTCATATAACGTCAGCAGCATATGAACTACGCTAATGAGATACTTCATCATGCAGGGCCCCCGGTCAAGAAGAAGGCTCTCGAGGCCCATCCCTCGTTCGCCGCCTACTTAGGACAAGCCGGTGTCGCCGCCCCTGCTTCTGCCGGTGGTGATTCCAAGCCTGCTGCTGCCGCCAAGGTCACTAAGAAGCGCAAGGCTGCAGACGAGGTTCCCGATGACGCTGAAGATAGCACCAAGGACCTTGCTCCTCCCTCTGCTGCTGACAAGTCTGAGGCCGAGAAGTCCGACTCCAAGAAGAAGGCTCCGCCTGCCAAGAAAGAGAAGAAGGGCCCCACCAAGAAGCGCGTTCCCGTCAAGGGCCCCAACGCCCCAAAGAAGGCAGCCAAGAAGGAGCCCGCCTCTGAGGAAGAAGTCGTCAAGGACAAGTCCGCGGAGAACTCCGCCGACGGCGGCGACGGTCTCGGTGAGTATTCCCACCTCAAAAACCTTGAGACCTGGTTGAACAATACTGACAGTGAGTTAGGCGGCGAGATGGAAGACGACATCTAGAGACGCTCATCACTTCTTGCAGGCGCTCTTGGTTCCTGACGTTGTACACACGCAAATGGTAGGCATTGCCACGTCACTGTACTTATCGGTGAACTGCATTCTTACATCAACAGGAGTTTCTGGGTTGCGCACGATAGCATTGTGTGTCCTTTGGGTATATAATGGGTTGTGTGTTGGCGAAAGGAGTTTCTGGGTGGATGGTATGGCATGATATGACGATTGATACCCCGGTGTTAAGGCTATGAGGGCTTTTGACGTCTTTTGTTGGGTATGGCACGCACTCTTCGCGTGGTCGAATCAACGATGATACATTCCACTTCTGTGTGTTCGTGAACGTGCCGTGATTGCTGTACCTTCTTTTACGGGCATGGTTGCTGTCGCGTTTGTCTTCTATACCCTGTATATTCGAATGCAAAGAGCAGCAAAAAAGAGGGTAGTATTTCGTATCTGCATATTGCTGTACGTGCGGCGGGCGTTGTGGTGCTAAGCAGGCACACGGACCAGCCGCACAAAGCTGTATCACGGCGAAATTCCGCGCTCTCAACCCCATCTTACAAACCCCCAACATGCCATCCACGCCCACGACTCGTACGCTGACAACTCAAATGCCGAGACCGACAATGCGTTCTTTCCTTCTGAGCATGAATATATGCCGCCTTCAGTCCCTACAGCTGCCAGGAACATGAGATTCACGCGCACCTCATCATTCTTCGCAACCATCTTCGGCCTCCAACGAACCACATCAGCGGACCTCTCATCCAGCAACACGACCTTCAATCCCCTCCAAGGAATCCAGCAATTCCCAATCTCGTCCTACAGCTCCAATATGACGCGTCCCGCACCCGTCATCTCGCTCTCACACGGCGGCGGCCCCATGCCCTTACTCGGCGACCCCTCGCACGCCGCCATCACCAAGTCGCTCAAGACAAAGGTACCCAAGATACTCAAACTGGGGACGCCTGAAGCGCCGAAAGCCATCGTGCTGGTAACGGCACATTGGAGCACAAGCAAAGTGACCGTATCCAGCGGCTCCAAACACGAGCTCCTCTACGATTACTACGGCTTCCCACCAGAGTCCTACGAGATCAAGCATGACGCGCCAGGCAGTCCTGAAGTCGCAGAGCAAGTAGCACAAGCCCTCAAAGACGCCGGTATCGAGTGTGAGAAAGACGACAAAAGACGTATGTCCTCCCTCAACCTTCTCTTTTACCTACAGTTTCTAACAACACCATCACAGCATGGGACCACGGCGTCTTCGTCCCGATGAAACTCATCGACCCCAACGCCCTTATCCCCATCATCCAACTCTCGGTCCTCTCCTCCGAGTCCCCAACACAATCCTACGCCATCGGCCGCGCCCTCTCCTCGCTCCGCACCCAAAACATCGCCATCATCGGCAGCGGCTTCGCTACCTTCCACAACCTGCGTCTCATGTTCGATGGCACGTCACGGAACCCAGAGTTCAAGGCGCTGAACAAGGAGTGGAGTGGTGCTGTTACGGACGCGGCTATGACGGAGAGCGAGCAGGAGAGGGAACGCAAGTTTGAGCATTGGAGAAGTTGGCCGGGGGCTTATACTATGCATCCGCGGGGTGGGGCGGAGCACTTTTTGCCGTTGATTGTTGCTGCGGGAGCGGCTGCGGGGAGCAAGGGGAGGAGTTATGCGGATGATTTTATGGGGACGGATATGTGGAGTTATTATTGGGAGGAGTGAGGGGGTGATGCAGGGGAGGGTGATATAAGGTAATGGGTGGTAATCAGGGAAGTGAGTGAGCAATACAGTTTCTCCTGTAAATTTTCATATCAGGATGAAACTTTGGAGGAGAAACTGTATTGCTCACTTACTTCTCTAATTATCATCCATTACCGCTGTATAAGGTTTCATACAAAGGTGGTGATATAGGGTAATAGATAATAAATAGGGAAGGAAGTGAGCAATTGAGTCTGTTGATGATGTTACTCACCGGAGTATCCTCATAAACAGACTCAATTGCTCACTTGCTTCCCTGAGTATCATCCATTAACGCTGTATGAGAGTATGTCGCATCAGTGAGACTTCGTTACCCTACAACATCTTCAAGCTGTAAGCCATGCTAGCTATTATATCCACACCTATCTGTTTGGTATCACATCTCCCTCAAATCTACTCACATCCCACCCCACCCCACCCCTCCCATCTCACCCCTGAATAGGCTTCAACCCATACCACCCAATAACCCCCATCCCGCCAAACGCACTCAAACAACTAAACACCAACGCCACAATCCCCCTCGCCGTGAAACCCTCCGGTAACCGCCCCGGACTCCTATTCTCACCCCGCAAGTCCTCGTAATCAACCGTGTTGCCCGCTGCATTCCCTTGCGTGGGCACATGACCCGTTTCACACACGTCCCAATGCGATTGTGGGATTGCGTTTGAGGAAGAAGGCGAGAGCTGGGCTTGGACGGCGAGCGGGGCTTCGATCATGGTGGCGGTTAGCCCGGAGGCTACGTGCCATTCTATGTGGCAGTGGAAGAGCCAGACGCCTTGGGGGGATGTTAGTAGGTGGAAGCATGGGATCGCGCATGGATAACGTCTTGATGGGAAGGTTGGTTTTGGTGCGTGGGAGTGAGTTGCTTACCAGGGTTATCAGATCGGAAACGGAGCACGATGTGTCCGTTTGGTCGGACGAGGACGGTGTCGCGTCGCATGGGTGTTGAAGGGGGTGTTGTTGTGTTGGTGGGGTCGTAGAAGCCTGCGTCGTCGTCGCTGCGGGTTACGACTTGGAAGGCGTGGCCGTGGAGGTGGAAGGGGTGTCTGGGAGTGGATGTTAGTATGAATGCATAATCTTCAGTTCGAAAATGGCATGAAGAGAGAATGATGGGCACATTAGAGCGGTATACGCACTTTCCAGGGTCATCGTTGTTTAGCACAATCTCCACAACTTCGTTCTGAGCAAGGACGAATGCGTTTGTGTTGCTGCCGTAGATGGTGGGGTTTGTTGCGTTGGAGCCGGTGGACAGGACGGTGTACAGCGTGGGTACTTTGGGACTGACGTAGGTTACGTCGTTAAAGAACGCACTGGCGTATGTCAGTTCTTGGTAGTCCAAGTATAAACATGGGACAGGAGATCGGCGACTCACTAATTCGCCCCGTCATCGAGGTTATCCATCTTCAAGTCCAAGGTGATGGAACGATCAACATGATCAAACAGCTCTTCCTTGTCGTGTGGTACCAAAGCGAAATCATCAAAAGGCTCAAATTCTGATATCTCTTTCGCGGCAGGCATATCCTTCTTATCATCGTAGACAAGCCATCCCGTGACATTAGGATTCAGTCCATCGGGTATAGCATCGAACAGGTCTTGATCCATGCTTCCTACAAAAGCGAAGTTGGAATTGGTGTCGTTCTTGGCAGTGACGAGAACACTGTACCGCTGCGCTGCGGTCAGGTAGATCATATCTGCCTCCATGGGTTCCGTGTATACGCCATCGACCTCGACAACGCGCATGGTATGATCCTCGAACCAGACGTACTGGGCAGCGAACGCACCCATGTTGACTAAGCGGAAGAGATACGTCTTTCCTGGCTGAATGGCGACAGTCAAGTTTTGAGTGTCATTGAGCAATGCGGCTTGAGGTACGGGCTCCGCGCCGGAAGGATTGGCGATGTTGATGAATTCGTCCAAGAGATTGTGCATGAGATCGTGGTACCAATCAGAAAGTGTTATGACGACTTCTTCGTCATAGAGATCTTTGAATGGGTCTTCGGGATCATGCACAATGAGAGGGCCACGAAGACCATCTGGGTATTGGCCGCGCTCATGGCTGTGGTACCAATATGTGCCGGGTTGGTCGACCTAGTCAGGTTAAAGACTGCAATAACTATCCATCAGTGACAGCGCAACTCACGGTAAAGTTGTATGTGAAGGAGCTGCCCGGAGGGATACCGCATTGGGTGACAGCAACAGGGCCGTCCATATGCGTAGTTCCATTCATGTACAAGCCATGGAAATGCAGACTCGTCGACTCATTTCCCAAAGAGTTCTTTGCGTTGACGATGACTTGATCGCCTTTTGTGACTACGATGGGTGGTAAAGGCCATTGGCCATTGATGCCAATGACCGGGCGCGTTTCCTGCCCATCGGGGTTCGCATAAGTCCATGCTATGTCGAAGTCATATGTGACGGTCGCGCAGGTAGCGACTGATAGTAGTAGGGAGAGCGGAAGGAGGAGGCTCGATAGTGAGAGTGCCATGATGGCGCACGAGGCGAGTGCTGAGAATCAGATGCAGTCGGACCTCGTCGCTGATGATCAGGCTGCTGTGAGTACGACTGTACTAAGGAAGTTCATGTGCTACACCCACGTTAGTGCCGATGCAAGAACACTCTCGTCAGACGCAGGACGTAAGATCCGACGTGCGGAGATCAGATAAGAGTCTCCAAGCATTTAGCCTCCACCATCTCAAGCCCCCATGCTTCGGCGCCGAGTTATCAGATCATGAGCCCATGTTCTCGACGGTCTGAAGGCGGCCACAAAGTGTCGCAAAGCGGGGCTTCTGTGTTTTTCCCTCACGAACTAGACTTACCTCGGCCTGACGTGTTTGATCATCCCAGTATCAGATTGAATTTTCCACGTCTTGGGTAACGACTAGCGAGTTTATCGAGCTTGATTTGCTGTGGGGTGACATTCACCGGGTGTTATCGGTCCATCTGATAATCTGGACCATGATCGGCCAGGGTATGGGGTAAGCGACGGCGCCGAAGGACCAATAAGCCTGCGCTAGTCCGCGCCACGAAGTCTTGGTTGGATTTGGCGTGCTGGGCATGTGAAGGTGCGGATCAGATAACTCGGAGGTTGGAGAAGGCGTTGGAGCATCTGTCGTCGGAAACAGAGCAGAGAAATGGGACTGAGGTCGGGTGTAGTTGCCTATCGCCAGGAAACGACAACCAGAGATATCGCAGTCGGAGTCGCAGCCGACGCAGCACAAAGCTGAAGCATGATCGGTCCGTCGTGATACCGG